GCGTCCGCGTGTTCCAGCCCCCAAAGTGCAGCCTGCTCACACCGCACCCCCTGGCTGGCAGATCGCCGACCCTGCCAGCGGACGCCAGCTGATCGGTTCCGCGTACCCCCCCCCCCCCCCCCCACCGAGCATAATCCCGGAGCACCGGCCGCCCCAGGTGCAGATCCAGGCCGGGGAGAGGGGGGGGGGAGGGGCGCCGTTCAACCAGTCAGCTGATCGCACAAGTCGCTGCGTACATGGGCATGGAACGTACGTACGAGGAGGCTTCTGATTCACCCCATCCCCCGGCCATTCCTAAAGAGGAAAGCTTAGTCTGTCACGTGAGGCGAACTAAACTAATCTTAAGGAAGCACGTGAGATAAAAAGGAGGCCTCCCGCGAGGCGCGCGACGCAGGCAAGGACACTGCGGCGGCGCGGCTGGGACGCGTTCCACGCCGTGGGAGACCTGGAGCTGGAGGCGACCGAGAGGGGCCCAGCTGCGGTCGGTGCCGACCGCGGCAGCCGTTCGGATACGATCGGCCGGTGTCAGACGCGTGGGAGCCGCCGCCGCCGAGTTCTCTCCATACGTTTAAACAGTGGACAGTTTGACCGCAGCCAATCGGAAGATTACGAGGCGAAATCATAGCGTGCTTAATGGATGTGTCTTGCGGGGGATTCATGTGATCTGGGTCGGATCTTGCCTTTGGGAGGACGCACAGGCGATTGGTGCGAATGTATTCTTCGTCATGAGCAGCCGTACTTTACGTAAAGAAATGCATGATCGCTGCAACAAATTTAACACGGCAGTGTGCGCGGCGTGCTCATGCCACGTGAGTATGCGGTATAACCAATGACCCCGGACATTTGATGGCCCCGAAATGGTTCATGTGATGGTATCTCCATTGTAGGGACGTTCGGGGTAAAAACACGGTTTTTCCCACACCACACCGACATTCAGCAGCAAAGGGATCGCAATCAGCTTGAGAATGTGATGGGTGAGCGTACAGAGTGTCAAACATGTTGCTGTGCGTGGTGTCGAAAGGCTCTCTGTCCTCAAACGGCACTCGCGTGCATGCGCTAACCGTTCCACATCACAGGAGGTCGGGCCGAAATATTTTGTCGCCTGCCTTATATTTTGGGTAGTTTTAATGATATTGAGTTCTTATATTATTCATATATATATATATATATATATATATATATATATATATATATATATATATATATATATAATGCCACTTCAGACTGTTGGGTTAAGTAACACAGCTGGTTCTGGATCGCTAAATGGACATCCTTGCGAACCCTGCAGAAGGTGAAATAAAAACCATTGTCTGAATCACAGACGAAGCCTTTCTAAAATGTCAGTCATGCCGCCCGCCCACCTAGTGGCTCAGACCACGAAAGTATATGGTGCTGCAATGCTGACACGATACTAACCTGCAATCCGCGTTTTGTCAGTTCTCTTTATTTCAAAACCGTACGTTAAGTTAGCATAACACGTCATTTCAGCGTCATTTAAAGCGCAACATTGTTGGGCTAACATTAGTTGTGTTGCTTAAATTGCAGCGGTCAAGGTACCTTGACTACGGGATTTCTATTATTCCAAAGTAGAGCTTAAGCACTGTGATCCCAGTTTTTAAAAACAAATGAAAAGGAATAAAGTGAAATTTAACATGACCTATCACCAAAACGTACCAGAGATTTCACATCTGTACCACATCTCAGTAAACCACAGGTCATGTATTCCAAAGTTGCATGCATTAACTGTTGGCTTTGCACTGACGGAGTAAAAAAAGGTTATTTCGAGTCATGGGAAGTCTACTCAGTGCATTGCACTGCAAACGCGGTCGGAAAAGCACATGACAACAGCGAACGAGATGAGCAAAAAATCCTGTTAATGTACTCATCCGTTGAAATTGTCGTATCAAGCAGGAAAAAGATGTGGCGTGTTTGAGAATTTCAAAGAAGTGAGTCAGTCACCCGATTACTGTTCTTGAATGTGGTGGAGTTCGTGCCAGGTGGATGCCGTGTAAGGTTACTCAAAAGCTGACGGCTGGAGGAGTGCTTGTTCTATGATAATCTTGGGCCACGTGAAAAACGTAGTTGACAATTTTTGGTGGAGCATTGTGGCCGATCAGAAATCATGGATGCATCATTATGATTCCAAAAAGAAAAGACAAGCCATGGACACTGCTAGAAAGCTTTGCCACAGCCGACAAAAGATAAGATCATAGGTTCAGCTCGGAGGGTCATGCCGAGCGCATTTTGGCACTGTTGAGAAATCATCCGCATGGATCTCTTGAAAAAGGGAGACACGGTGAATTCCAAACGCTGCGTAGGTTCTCTAAGAAACCAGGAGGTTCTCTAAGAAATCGGGAGGGAAACACCCGTGAAATAATCCTGCCACACGACGACGTCTAGCCTTACATCAGCGGAACCATCACTGCCGCCACGCGGTTTTCAAGGTTATTCATGATACTGCATTCCGGAATAACGCTGACTTCACTTCTAACCACTACCTCTTGCTCCCGAAGCTGAAAGAACACTTGAAGGGTGAGTGCTACTCATCTGATGAGGAGGTCAAGCCAATAGCATGCCAATGCATACGAGGATTGCACCCTGACATGTTTGCTGACAGACTCCGCAAACTAGTAACACTGGAAGAAAGATACTGCAGCTGGAAGTGACTATATAAAGAATAGCGTGCACGCCGATGGATAAGTGACGCGGCTACATTTCGAGGTTGTTATAACATGTGTTGAATTTTTTAGATGTTATTGATGAGTCGAACTACTGAGATCGCCGTTCTACAACACAAGACGTGAAAATAGCCAGTGCGTCCAATGGAGTGACAGGATCAAAGCCAGATTTAGATCGTCAGATTTTGGTACCAACTGTAACATTTTGATATTCTGAGAAATCGCCCGACCCGCGACATAGATCGTCAGATTTGGTACCAACTGTAACATTTTGATATTCTGAGAAATCGCCCGACCTGCAGCCTGAATTCGAAAACCTGCCCCACCCTCAAGGAAGTTCACCAGAAGAAATAGCTTGGGGTACAAAACTGACCTTTTCAGCACAGGATCACACAAGCGTGCGACATGATAACCCACCCTATTATCACTAAGGTACAAATGGGCCGGAGGGTATATCAGCGAACATTGTGATGGATCGTCCACACCTGAATGCACATGTATGTGCATTCATGCATGCATTCACGCCTAAGGTATATATAAGGGAAACACTATGTGCTACTTCGCATAACACTACACTTCAAAGTTAACAGTTATAATTTTTATCGTGTGTTCTGAAGAAATGTCTGAGCACCTTCCCAAGCAAGTGGTCGACTCATTCTGCTGGAGATGGTGGGCATTGACCACGATCACATATTGTTGAGATGATGAACACAAAGTTAGCTGCCGGTAATGCGTAAATGATGGAAGCATCGTCATACATGGAGCGCTCGCTGAAAAGCGCGCTTTTACACCTGCACTTTATGGTTCTGCGGACTGAAAAGTAGCGCCTCCATCAAGGTGCATCAAGGCCTTTAACCGCCTTGTCGGCATGAGCACACAGCTTGGCCAGCGGGAATTCAACGGTCACGTGGACGTGGCACACTGGATCAGAGGTGGTCAGAGGGCCGGTTACTCCCGTCAGAGGGCCGGTTACAAGGTCCCGCTCAGGTCACTTACCGGTCCTATCGGCTCCAGGCTCTTGTCGGTCCCTGCCCGGTAACGTCCGTGCCTCGCTCAGCTTACACTAAGGTTCCGTTGATGTTTACGTTTATGGGGCTTACACGCTATGTTTGTGTCGCGTTTACGACAAGTCTATGTCACTTTAATATCAGTTTTATGCGCCCGTAAGGTAATGGCCTGGTTGCCGTGCTGTCATATTCAGGTCAGTTTCCAGCATCAGCCAGGTGACAGTAACTGTGTAACCTGGTCACAGACGGCCACCATATGTCACTTTCAGGAATGTGGGATAAATGTCAGGCTGTCATCGGGTCGCCATCAGATTGCCACCGGCTCATGGCCAAGTCTCAGGCAAGAGCGCAGCCAGAATTTGTGACTTTGGGGGGGGGGGTTACCATGTTTTGCGACAGGAAGGGGCAGTTTTTACGAGCGAGTTCCAGCCCCATTTACAGTACCCACGCACTGTCAATAGACTTCTAGACACCACAAACGCTAATAGGTGTAGTACAAAAGCGTATCAATGAGCTATCGATAATGGTTTGTCCTGCTGCCTTAAAAAATTTTGTTTTCAACTGCGCTCCGCATCTATTCAGTTCACTATCCTACTAAATTACGACTGTTGGCCTCTGCGTGTCGTTGTCAATGATAGTCCTTCTATAATATCCAAAACCAGAGCAGTTTTCCTGACCACCAAATTCCGGAATTACATTTAGCAGTGATGTGGTGAATAAGTGCGCTTGAGCCTGAGGGGTGGGGGTGGCTAAAGCCTCACACATCCCCCACACTGGTCGCGCCACCCGCCACAAGTTGTGTTACAAACAGGCTGCCGTCAGATTGTAATTAGGGTATCCATGGACGCGGTAACTGGTGCGCCAGGGGGGACTGAGCCCCCAGCACTCTGCAAATTTAACATTAATATTATATATATATATATATATATATATATATATATATATATATATATATGTGTGTGTGTGTGTGTGTGTGTGTGTGTGTGTGTGTGTGTGTGTGTGTGTGTGTGTGTGTGTGTGTGTGTGTGTGTGTGTGTGTGTGTGCGTGTGTGTGTATAACCAAGAATGGCTGCCGACCCCACCCACCCCACTCCCTCACAACTCGGGAGGACTTCTGTAGTCTATGAGGGATCGTCCGGTCGCTGTTCAGTTGCCGGCAATCCGCCGTCTGTTAGCCATCTGATCACCGTCCGACCATCGTCCGGTGACCGCTCGGTCATCGTCAGGTCACCACCCGGTCATCACTCGGTCATTGTCAAGTCACCACTCGGCTATCGTCAGTTTACCGGTCGGTTGTCGTCAGATCACCTCTTGGTCATCGTCATGTCACTGCTCATTCATTGTCAGGACACTGCCCATTCGTCGTCAGGTCATCACTCGGATCATCGTCAAATCACCATTTGGCCATCGTCAAGTCACCTTTTGGTCATCTTCAGGTAATCAATCGGTCATTAGCAGGTCACCGCCCGGTCACAGCCAGGTAACCACTCGGCCATCGTCAGGTCATCACTCGGTCACTGTTAGGTCACCGCTCGGCCATTGTCAGATAATCGCTCGGTCAGCAACATCCTACCATCAAGTCATCCACAGGTCACCATCAGACCACCCATACGTCACCATCAGACCACCTACAGACCCCCATCAGACCAACCACAGGTCACCATCAGACCACCCACAGGCCACCATCTGGCCAACCACAGGTCACCATCAGACCACCCACAGACCGACATCAGACCACCCACAGACCGACATCAGACCAACCATAGGTCACCATCAGACCACCCACAGACCACCATCATACCAACCACAGGTCACCATCAGACCACCGACAGACCACCATCAGACCACCCACAGGTCACTACGAGACCACCCGCAGACCACCAACCAGAGCCCGCTCCGCTCAGGGCCTGGTGAGCGTGTTGGCCGGTCCCATCAGCTCCGGCGCGTCCAGCGGAGGACCCACCTGGGCCCTGCCGGCGCGGCTCGCGATAATGAACGTGTCCTGACCGATCGGGATTGGACCAGAGCCCTGCGGCCGCAGCTTCATCACGCTCCGCCGCAGCGAGTAGTTGTAGCCCGTCCAGGTGTACCAGACGACGCCGTCGGCGAAGCTGCGGTGTGCGCCCCCCAGGTACCAGCCGTTGAGGTTGGAGTCGTGGCAGTTGCCGTACCACCAGGCGCCCTTGTAGAGGCGCGCGCAGCTGCGCTCCGAATAGTTGCCCTGGCGGTTGTCGTTGTCGACGTCGAACGTGGAGAACGGCAGGCCGTTGTGGCTATAGAGCGAGTCGCCCGCGTTGCCGTAGTAGAGGTTCTGGTGGTAGAGGCGATAGGCGTCGCCCTCAGGGCCCAGGCGGAAGCTGCGGTACCTGTGTCACGAAGGAAGTGCATTAGAGCAGCGGGTGCAGGAGCAACGCCTCTAGAAGTGGTGGGGAGGGTCTCCAGCAACAATTTTAGGCTCGTTAAGACTGCTTTTATCCCGTATTGCTGTCGGTGTAATGTCGAGATATTCGATTGTTGTGAGTTTGAGCTGTCCCCGGGGTATCCAATGACATCTCAGCAGCACGTGTGAGGAAAATTAGAGGTGTTAGACCCGGCGATGGGGGGTTGCGGTTGCTTTGTAGGAGAGGAGGGAGGGCTAAGCGCCGGGAATGAGTGGGTTGCAGATCCTTCGTAAGGCAACAGAGAAGGCGTTAGGACCGGCATTGGTTGGTTGCAGTACCTCTATAGGGGGTGAGGAGAAGGTGTTAGAGCCGGAAGCTCCTCCTCCTGGGATGTGGCTCCTCTGTAGGGGAGGAGGAGAGGTGTTAGAGCCGAAAGCTCCTCCTCCTGGGACGTGGGTCCTCTGTAGGTGATGAGGAGAGGTGTTAGAGCCGGAAGCTCCTCCTCCTGGGATGTGTCTCCTCTGTAGAGGATGAGGAGGGGCGTTAGAGCCGGAAGCTCCTCCTCCTAGGATGTGACTCCTCTGTAGGGGAGGAGGAGCGGTATTAAGGTCGGGGACGCGGGGGTTGGGGTTCCTCTGCAGGGAGAAGGGAAGTTTTAGGGGGTGGGATAAGGATTCCTCTGCAGGAGAGGACGGGAAGCGTAAGGGCTGTGGTTGGACGCGTGGCGCGCTGCGGTACTCACGCGAGAGAACATGCCCGGTTGATTTCGGAGTCGTGATTGTTTTTTTTTCCAAGCGAGAGGAGAGAACACAAGCCAGGATCGGCTGATGTACTTGCGATACGGACCGCGTTTACCAAATGGTACCGCAATATCCGATAATCAGCACACCTTATTCACGAATCTCTGAAAGTGTTGCGTCTCGTAAAAATACAGGCTATGGAATCAGCCGTGCCACCAGCCTCCACTGACATCTCGCAGGGCTGGCCATGATGGTTTTGCATGGCCTCGTCCGGGTTTGAGCAGTAATCCCCGAATCACTTGTTCCCATACCGGGCTCTGCACCACTTAAATCCGTAATGAACCATCCGGATGGAAATTACAGCTGCACGGTTGAAACCGTGGGAACTCATCGGAGCTTCCTAGTCATGCATGAGCAGATTAGACCACGAATCCAAAACTCATGTTGAGAATCTCTTCTTTCGAGGCAGCCCTATATCGTCAGAGGGCTAAAACTAACAATTTTGAAACGGCAATATAAAGCAACGAATCGCAGCTGTTAGAAATATCTAGTCTTGATCATCTCATCCGGAATCAAATATGTTGCTTTGTCTCATGCATCAGTCACCCACGGTGTAGCACTTGGGTTCCATACGTCCTCACAATCCTTGCAGTCCCTATAAAACCTCAAACACTGGAACTGTAAACGGTTTGTTGAAGTGTGGTTTATGCCTTAATTAGACGTCGGTGTGGCATTCGTTTTGCCTCGCGTTGCGAGTTCTCCAAACTGAATACTTTATTCAAATAGCCCCATTAGGCACCGAATGTGCCTAAAAATGTTCAGCAATGCGGCAGACACTCGGCTGAACATTCGAGCAGGACATTCCTCACGTTGACGAGGACTAACTAATGTGATGCCGGCGCACGACCATCGCCGCAGAACTTCAAGGAGTACGCACCGCGCCGGCGCGTGCTGCCCTCGCCTGGCCGGAGCCCCAGAGCGGCCTGCCAGGCCGAAAACTTCCTGGCCACGCAGAGCTCAAGAATCCACGCATGCATGTCCTGCACAGCTACGCCAACTCCAGTATCTGTATTTGTACATCAGTCCCACCGCCGTCAGGCGGGCACGAGTGATGCCGCCGCCGGGCGTCCGCGTCGGCCGTTTGACGGGAAAATGTCAGGGCATGCGGCCGTCCGAGCGGCACCGATAGCCGCGGGCAAACACAGCCGATACCGCCCCTGACGCGGGGCGACGGCAGACTTGGTGACGACGGATACGGGCGCCGCGCACGGTAGGCTTCTGCGGGAGGCCCCGGTGGAAGGCCCCGGCACGGGAGGCCCGACACGAGGCCCCGGCTCGCGGCGTCCGGGTGGGCCGAGGTCAAGGTCGTGGATGCGGATGGGCCGGGGCGGGGCCCACTCTTGCGACCTTGACTTATGCTGAAATACGGAAATATGTGCCGCGACCACGGCGTCCGCGTGCCCAGCGTTGCGCTGGCCTGGGATTCCCTCCACGCCTGCGTTTGTGGTTACCAGCGGCAGACATGTTCCTGCGCAGTGGGAAGGTAAGTGGTCGCCGCACCGGTCGCCGGTAGCCGTCTTGTAAGTAGCTGCCCATACTCATGAGGTGAGTAACTGCAGGCGGTGTCAGGTACCTGACTCAGCGCCTCGCTACTGCACGCCTCGGGGGCTGTCGCAGCCACTGCCTTCGCTTCGCTTCACTCTCGGCCTGCGCGATTAAGCTCGTGATAGCACGGCGTCGCTGCTCATGTAATAACCGTGAGATCCATCATCTAAGGCAACGCCGCTGCTGCGTCAAGTCCGCCCCAGTATGTGATACGGCGCCATATTCGCCGCCAGCAGTCAGTGACGCGGCCCTGGACCGTTGCGGGAGCTTTTCATGCGGAGCCTGAAGTGGAAGCACCCGAGGTAATATTTTAATTGGCGAGCATCCGGCCACGATTATACGCGCGCAACTGAGAAATTACCCGCCACAGAATAGGCTGGCACTGATATACTACCACGCGTCATAAATGAAACATGCTGTTCAAGCGCTGTAAAGGCATAATATAGCGGACCCGACTATATGAGCAATAACTTGACTCGCTGCCATGCGGTCTAAAGTGCAATGGCACCTGAATATAACGCCACTGATGACCGGCCTAATGCACGGTAACAGTTTGAAATAATTTTCCCGAAAAGACAGAAAAGTTCACGTGGTGGTTCGTTTGCGAATGCATGAGGCATGCACAGTGGACTAAATCGGATTATACAGTATCCATGACTGGAAGGTCATAAAAGTCAATGCAACCCTGGAACAAGGCGGCTCCCATTTGATGCCACGGACCCGTACCACCACAGCAAAGACATTTGACCTCTGGTATTAATATTCGTCACTGTTTGATTTTGACTTCAAGCCCAAGTGGAATATTTATTGATTATTTTTATTTAGATATTAATTGTATTTAATTAATTTTATTTCAATATTAATCTTTTTTATTAATTATTGAATAATAGCAAATGTACGTCACTTCCGCCCTCTGTGAACCGTGACCGGGGTCTGGACGCTTCGCTCCCTTGTGAGCGTCTGAAAACATAAGACAAAAGAGCATGAGATGCGTCGGACCGGACCTTTGGTCCAGCGCTCTCTGCGCGCCTCTTCCTCCTACCTGGAGAAGCGCTTGTTGCCTGACCAGTCCTCCAGGTCGATGGCCAGCTCGAAGCGGGTGCCGTTGTCGGCGTTGGTCAGCGCCCACACCAGGATGTTGCCTGGGGCAGCACCAGGGTTCGAGTCAGACGTCACTGGTGATGGTCAGCGCCCACACCAGGATGTTGCCTGGGGCAGCACCAGGGTTCGAGTCAGACGTCACTGGTGTTGGTCAGCGCCCATGCTAGGATGTTGCCTGGGGCAGCACCAGGGTTCGAGTCAGACGTCACTGGTGATGGTCAGCGCCCACACCAGGATGTTGCCTGGGGCAGCACCAGGGTTCGAGTCAGACGTCACTGGTGTTGGTCAGCGCCCACACCAGGACGTTGCCTGGGGCAGCACCAGGTTTTGAGTCAGCCGCCAGCGTTCTTGGTCGGCGTCCGCGCCAGCGTGCCGTCCGGGGTTGGGTTTTGCGATGGCGCCAGTCTTCACCAAAACAAAGCTCTGTTGCTGAATACGTGGGCTGCAGGCGAGAGAGACCAGGCCAGTGGCCGCCATAATAATGATGTAGGTTACCTTTCGTCTGCTTTACAGCGCATGCAATTGGTGCATGTCACGAGCTCAGGAAGCTCGGGGCTGCAACGGGGAGGGGGGGGGGGGGGGGCCCGGAGCGCAGCAGGTAGATGAGCGCTGGCTTATCTCAGAGAACGCGTCACGACGACGGCTCATACTGCACCAGCAGCTTGTGCCGAGCCCTCGGAGGTTGAGACATAGGTAACTGACCTCCTAAACATCTTGTGAAGCATCAGCGATCAACTGGAGAGGATCATGGCGTCATAAATCAGATAGCCGCCCATGGACACCCGAGCGCTTGTCGGAGTGCATCAGCGCCACACGACCGTGCAGGCCTGGCGCAGGGCTCTCGGCTGAGAGGTAAACATGTAGATTTGCGTCTAGAGCACAAAGGCCCCGCGTGGGCGGAGGGAGAGGACGAGGGCGCTGAGTGAGTCATGGCTGATAGGAGGCAAGAAGGAAGACAGGTCGGCGCTTGGTGATCCCGATAGCTGATGCTGTAATCCCAATGGTGCTGCTCAGTCACCGCTGTCTGAGCGCGAGAAAATATGGGGGGGGGGGGGGTGAATCAAACACGAAGTGATGCTAGGCGCTCACCCAGCCAAAATTCCCTGTCGAAATCACCGAACCCAACTTTGTAGTCATCCCAGTTCCTGAAGAAGTTCTCGTGTGGCTCAACGTCGTCTCTGACCTGGAACACCTGAAACGATAAACATGACGTGCTTCAGCACATCCCATCGAAATAGTTTATATCGCGACTGCACAAAACCATTTCTTCAAAGAACGCGACCGAAGCCAAGTGTGTTTCGAAGGAGATGCGCAGGCTGCGTGTTGTTCTAGGTACACTCAAGCCCTGATGGCAGACCTTTCAGGTGCCGCCGCCGTACCGTCCAGCCTCCTCCTTCTGTCTCCAGATCGCAGTAGACCTTCCACGGCCCCTGCACCAGGTTGGGCGGGTGGATGAGGTAGATGCCTGACTGGTTGGCGCCCTGCGTCCCTTGGATGTCGTGACAGCTGGTCCCCACAGTGAAATTGCCGGGTGAAGTCCTAGAAACGGACAGGCGGTAGGTCAACAATGTCAGTCTGAAAAGGTATGCTTCGGATTGTAATGAACTGTGCTAGAAGACTTGCGGCCGGTCAAATTCATAATTGACAGATGTGCATCAAGCCATCACAGGTCCGCCTAATGGCTGACCTTGACCGGGCACGTCCTGGTTCCCGAGCTGCTGACCTCGGCAGCCGGGTCCAGCCGTGACACGATCTGACACACTGACCTTGACCGGACGTGTCCTGGTGCCTGAGCTGCTGACCTCGGCAGTCGGGTCCAGCTGCGACACGATCTGACACACTGACCTTGACCGAACGTGTCCTGGTGCCTGAGCTGCTGACCTCGGCAGCCGGGTCCAGCTGCGACACGATCTGACGCACTGTGCGCCTCACAGCTGCTTCGATGCCATGCATTGTTGCTGGGTCCATGGCTGACGAGTAATCGCGCTCGTTGGCAGATGTGCCCTGTGTTTAACACATGAGGTCAGGTCAAGGTCAAGCAGGTCAAGCAACAGGAATGGGCTTGATATAGACACCAGATACGCGTGGTCCAGACAACTCTGTTATTTCGTGGAATTACATGACACCTCGGCGTGACAAAGATCAGATATAGAGATCAGAATTACTATAGAGATCAGAGCCAGACTGATCGGTTTGTGCTGTGTTGACTTCGTTGCGACGGTAAACAATACGGCACCTCACATGAACGAATGCTCATTACTTCCTGCGGGTCGAAAGTATTCAATGGCACTTGGCTTCCGTGCAGGACACTACAGAATTGTGACCCTAATTCATTTTCCGAAGAACGTCACGTTCGGTAAAAGTCCGGCTATCAAGGTCCAATGCCTAGCCCATTTAGTTGGGGCAAAGAGGGTCATTTGTCCAGTGGGGCTTGTATTATGTCGGTAAATCGTATAATGAAGCGGCAAAATGGTTTCCGTATTTTAATATGGGAGAAGGCCCACACCGCTTGTCCATGGCAGTGCTTCCAGCACTCAACAAGCTCACTATACAGTGGGCTGAGACTGGGAAGCAATCATCATAAATGTGGAATAGGTGTACATTGGTGCATCATTTCACACCGGGCGACGGGCAAAGGCAACTACGCTATTCAGTTGAAACTGAATACGGAGCAACGTCAGCGTTACGATTGCCCCGTCGGGCTTTTCAGTGCATTGACAGCTAGAGGCAATTGGCACATCAAAGTGTTTGACTTTGTTCGCTGTTCCATTGAAGCTGACAGCGGGGCAAGTTGACGCCGCCGGATAGTTATTCGGAAAGTACATGCGTGAAGCCTGACGAAGCCTTCAGTACTTCTGAGGGGTTAATGAAGTGAAAAGTTCGGCCAAACAATTTCATACAAATTGAGCTGCTTCAATTTACCATGCAGCCTGCCATTTGCCGACGCATTGGCAGAGTCACGCGAGGAGCCTCAGCACGTCGAGCGTATGATTAGCGCTCCCGGATTCGTCGCTGGGGACTGCTGGAAGTCACGCTGGCGTTTTCCTCCACATTTAATGGGTAATGTTCCTCGGGTAAGTGCCCTTAAATGACAAGCTTCATTCTGCTTATCAGCGGAGAATTCCGCATGGAGTGCAGCCTTGGTGTCGCCCGTCGCGAGCGCACGGACCTGCTGCCTGAATTCCGACCGAAAGTTCACGGTGGAAGGGTTGCAGGAAAGGGGAGCAGCAGGCGGTGACGCGTGTGCTTCCATATTTTTTTGACCGGCCTTGACTGAAGCGTGAAATGGCATCGTTGCTGTGAGTTCAGAACTGAGTCGATGGGGAGAGGGGGGCGAGGGGGGGGGGGGGGGGTTCGCGGCCGCTCCTGCCAGGAGTGCTCAGCGAGCGCTGTCATCCTTTCCGTCTGGCCAGATCCTGGTCTAAGAAGACTGCTCCAGCTTAATGCTAAAATGTTATTGTGATCGCTTACAAGCTTAACGCATTGCTTCTGCGCAGGCCTAAACTAGGGCGTGCGTTCTGATGTCGTTTTGATGACCGTAATGACTTCAAGGGCCGCAAGAGGCAGTTCAGCTGTGGGATCTCGATCTGAAACGGATGATATCATAGCCTGCATTATTCCCTCTACCAGTCACATGTTGGTTGAACTCGCGACTTGTAATTAGTGTATTCAAGCTACATGTTTGTAGCATTGGACAGAAAGGAGATAGCAATTTGAAAGCTAAATTTAGCGGCATGCACATACCTATCTTGATTATTCACGTGCGATTAGCATTGAAGTCAAATTTCCGGAATTTGATCTGATTTTGCACGTCAGCTAGAGGTATTTGCGGAACGCTTCCACCGTCTTTCTTCCTTGATCAACACCCAAAATAAATTTGTGTTCAACGACGTGCACTTGATTGCAAATTGCATCTACCTAAAGTCCCTAATTTCGTTTGGCAGAGTTTACTCTGGTTGCATCATTTGGTAGCCAATGTATTCATTTGCAATAAGTTGTGCTCAAAATCTGTTTATTATGTAACAAATGAAATACCACTTTAATTCTGCAAAAGTTGGCTTTCAGCCACATAGCAATACAGCGGAGTTCCCATTCGTGAATTATTTTACTCATGGCATAAATTACATTTCGTCAGCAGCGTCAAAAACCCTCCCCACCCCGCGCCCGTCACAGACCCAGCCCGCGCCCGTCACAGACCCAGCCCGCGCCCGTCACAGGCCCAGCCCGCGCTCGTCACAGACCCAGCCCGCGCCCATTACCGTCCGAGTCCGCGTCCGTAACCGACCCAGCCCGCACCCGTCACAGACCCAGCCCGCGCCCGTCACCGACCCAGCCCGCGCCCATTACCGTCCGAGTCCGCGTCCGTAACCGACCCAGCCCGCACCCGTCGCAGTCTCAGCCCGCGCCCATTACCGTCCGAGTCCGCGTCCGTAACCGACCCAGCTCGCACCCGTCACCGACCCAGCCCGCGCCCATTACCGTCCGAGTCCGCGTCCGTAACCGACCCAGCTCGCACCCGTCACCGACCCAGCCCGCGCCCATTACCGTCCGAGTCCGCGTCCGTAACCGACCCAGCCCGCACCCGTCACAGACCCAGCCCGCGCCCGTCACAGACCCAGCCCGCGCCCATTACCGTCCGAGTCCGCGTCCGTAACCGACCCAGCCCGCACCCGTCGCAGTCTCAGCCCGCGCCCGTCACCGTCCGAGTCCGCGACCGTTACCGTCCCAGCCCGTGCCCGCCACAGTCCCAACCCTCATCCGCCTGAGTTTAAGGTCTGAAATTTGGTACAAAAATGGTTTCTTCATGGCTTGGGCGACTCAGACGCGCGGTCTAGTGCCATGTTGGGCGATAACTAGGCTCGTACATTTCGGCAGGGGCGCTTATGGTAGCCTGGAAAGATGACACAATCCCCTTCGCGCCCGCATTAAGCTTCACCTTCTGGATTATGAAGCTGTCTGTATCTGAATATGCCATCAGATCCGACAGCTCTGTGCAATTTTGTTTTTGGCTGAAGCCTCTTAGTTATAATGAGAAGCGATGCATCTTTGAACGCAGAAGCCTGCGAAACTCACGTGACATCGCAGTCTTTTTAATATTGATAAAATGGCCTACCTTTGGACAGACTTTGCGCCCACAGTTATTCCAGTTTGCCCGGAGGTTAAAGGTCACTGCATCCGCTGCGGGAAGTATGTGGACGGGAACTCACCAGTCTGCCTAATAGACTGCCGGCGGGCTCAGCGGCGCCCTCCCGGCTGAGGTGGTTATCGCGCCCTCATCTGACGGACATCCGCCAAAAGAGTCCCTCAGAACCCCGGAAGCTATCGCCTCTTCGTCTGATGGACATCCGGCAAAGTAGTCTCCCAGAGGGGGAGGGCATGTATAGTAGTGCACTATAAACCCCGGAAGCTATCCCATCTTCGTCTGATGGACATCCGGCAAAGTAGTCTCCCAGAGGGGAAGGGCATGTACAGTAGTGCACTATAAACCCCGGAAGCTATCGCCTCTTCGTCTGACGGATATCCAGCAAAGCAGTCTCCCAGAAGGGACGGATATGTACACTGGTGCACTAAGAAGTCTGGAAGCTATGGCCTCTTCGTCGCACGGAATCCGCCAAAAGACTCCTCCAGAAGGAACGGATATTTGCACTGGTGCACTACATACCCCGGAGGACTGGCGCCTGCTTGTCTGACGGGCATCCGGCAAAAGAGTCACCCCGAAGGTCAAAGGTCAAAGTCACCCCGAAGGAGGTCAGGCCGCGGCACTCTCTGACGCAAGTCATATTGACTCAGTGCCCGCCACAAGGTCACGGTCCGCATGCCCAGCAGTGGGTCTGACCGGGGCAGATAATGGGGCGTGCTGCCACTATCAGTGATCGGTTTCACCCGATCTTCACGTGACGTGCCAGTGTTGACTTCCGGCGACCTTTCGCAACTATCTGAGGCGGGCTGTCACATCCGCCGGAGTGTGTCAGCTCGGCTCTATCACGGTATGTGGCAAACGGTGTGCGTTTGCGTAACCGCAAGTGGCACGCTTAGGAAGCAGAACAGGCGGCGTGATTCCCTCTTAACGCGGTGCCGCTTGCGTGGCATTGTTCCGACCGCAGCAGTAATTAGACACACGGCGCGCGACGCGGACGCTTTCATCGCCACCACAACAAACATTCTTGCCGACTCTGTACCAACGAACAGCTACGCACTGCGGCGACTGGTAAGCCAAGTAGTTCAGCATTCCCACCCGCCACACACTGGCTTTCACGAGCTTGTATATGCTCTGCCTAACCGTGCTTAATAAGGCTACAAGCACAACAACGGGAGACTCGCGGTATTGCATTTCAACAATTGTAAGCTGGTGACAAGTCACGCTTGTCTATAGATATATAAACAACTTTAAGCAAGGTCAACGGCATCACCAGCCTCCTCTCCCTCCCCCACAGGAGCCCAGATGCCCCCGTTGTGCCTTGTGGGCAAGGAGCAGACGGAAAGTTGGCAATGTCGTCACGTGTTTACCGTGCCGGCGTTGTGCGCCTCCAACGGCAATCGTAACAGGAAGAGGTTGCCCACCAGGTGGTAACAGGACTCACGTCAGCCTGGTGCTGTGTCCGTCCCGGCGCCCACAGCAGGCAGAGCACCCAGGCCGCCGCCGGCAGCGCTGCACCCAGCCTGCGCCACATGCTAGCGTCGTCGCGGCGGTAGCTGCACTGCTCGGCCCACCCCGGCGAAATGGGTCACTGGGCCTCGTGGGTCGTGACCCGGCCGCCCGGGTCGGGCCGCTGGCGGCTCGTGAGGTGCCCATCGCGGCTGCCGCCGGTGCCGCGCCAGCGGATGCGACGGCGGCGTCGAAGACCGTGTCAGCCGGGCCACTGCGGCTGTTGTGGGCCCGCGCACGCCGAGCCTCAGTTGCCATCTGAGAGAGAGAGAGAGAGAGAGAGAGAGAGAGAGAGAGAGAGAGAGAG